GCTAAGAATTGATGATACTGCCGGACGGGGAATCAGTCTTATTAAAAAATACAACGACGCAGGACAGATGCAGTATATTCTTCTCACAGTCGTTTTAATGTTCGAGAGCAGTAAAGAGAAAGGAAAAATAACGCAAATTACGGTGTGCTAATTAAAACCCAACACCGGTGACCGTAAACGGCATTCGGCCGACTTATTTACCGTAAAGATATTCCGATTAATCCGTGAATTACGCGTACGATCCGGCAAATACCGAAATTTATCGACAGTGTCGATATATTTCCACGGATTACCGATATTTAAAAATCCCTATAAAGTGTACCTAATTTTAAACGGTTTTTGATGATTGATGGGTCGAAGTGAAGAACAACGTCAATAGTATTTTATATTTTTTAAACATATTTTTATTTTTCCCAAAATGCATCTGTCGGATTTATTTTTATTTATTGCCAGTGCTTTTTCGGCGCTTTTTATTATTTATTGATGCATTTTGTTTGAACAAATACATATAAATCTGATATTTTAATGACTTTTTTCCGTTGTAATATTTTAATGGATGACCGGCGCTAAATTTATATTAAATGTGATGCGATTTTTTGTGAAATATCGCAAAGGGTTTTTCTTAATCCAATAACAAAAACGTTTTGTTTTCATAACTGAATCGGCAAAACAAAATTTGCTGCCAACAACGTTTGACAAATTGAAAAAAATGTAATATAGTAAAATATTAATATTATACTAAGTCTTAGGATATAATTAACTTGATAATATTCTTTAAAAATCTTTTATTTTTTTATAATATTATTGTAAAGAAGCAACATAAAATATTTCTTAAAAAACAACATTTATGATATTTCTACTAAAGAAATTTAAGTTCTTGTTAATAATTTCTAATATTGGAATTTTGGCTAAAGTTCGCTAAAAATCGCTTACCATTTGATAACCTTGTTGTACATTTTAATAATATTCCTAAAAAACAACATTTTCGACATGTTCACTAATTTTATTCAATTTTTTGAAAATATTCTTCAAAAATCTCTTACATATTTTTGATATTATTCTTGTAAATTTAATATTTAATTCTAAAGAAGCAACATTTAATATTTCTTAAAAACAACAGTTTATGATATTTTCACTAAAGATGTTAAAGTTATTGTTAATATTTTCTAATATTTGAATTTTGTTTAAAATTCTCTAAAAATCTCTTACATTTTGATAATATTCTTGTCAATTTTGACAATATTCTTTTAAATTCAACATTTTGGACAAGTTTTGCCAACATTTCTGATATGTCCACAAAATTTAATAAACTTCGTAATAATATTCTTTAAAAATCTCTTACATATTTTTGATAATCTTCTTGTAAATTTAATAAAATTTCTAAAGAAGCAGCATTTAATATTTCTTAAAAACAACAGTTTATCATATTTCCACTAAAGATATTAAAGTTATTGTTAATATTGGAATTTGGTTTTAAATTCACTAAAACTCTCTTACATTTTGATAATATTCTTGTGAATGTTTATAATATTCCTTAAAAACAACGTTTTTGACAAGTTTTGTTAAAATTTCTAAATGAATTCAACTTTTTGATAATATTCTTAAAAAATCTCTTACATATTTTTGATAATATTCTTGTAAATTTTATAATATTTCTAAAGAAGCAACATTTAATATTTCTCTTAAAACAATAGTTTATGATATTTCTATAGAAAGTATACTTAAGATATTAAAGTTATTGTTAATATTTTCTAATATTGGAATTTTGTTCAAAATTCACTAAAAATCTTTTACATTTTGATAATATTCTTGTTAATTTTGACAATACTCTTTAAAATCAACATTTTTGACAAGTTTTGCTTATATTTCATGTCCAATTATATTGAACTTCTTGATAATATTCTTTACAAATCTTTTATATATTTTTGATAATATTCTTGTAAATTTTGATAATATTACCTAAAAAACAACATTTCTGATATATTCCACTAAATATATTAAAATGTTTGTTAAAATTTAAAATTCGCTTACATTTTGGTAATATTCTTAAAATTTTTGTTAACAACAATAATAATAATAAATACGGTATGTATTTTTTTATAAAGTCAAGGTAGACAAATAATGGTATTTACACGGTCTACATATTTATTAAAAAATTTATTACAAGATTTATTTACAATATTCTATATTAAACACGTCCCGCAAATAAAAAACCTACGAATTGTGTTTGCTTTTTTCAAACAAATATTTGTATACCGTGAATTTGTTATACTATTAAATTCGTTGCAGTTTTAATGTAAAATCCTGAACATTTTTTAACATTATAAATAACAGATAACTGTAACTTGAGCATTCCCTTTAATATTTCCATTTGTAATTTCGCTTCTTTTTCGTTGGGGTGGCCCGCGCGTTTTTTTTAGGGGTGAAACAAAAAATACACACTTCTTTATCTTATGTTTTGGATTTTTGCCGGTTTTTAATTTATTTACGAGCCCCCATTTTTAATGTTCTCAAGTTACGACTACGTCTGTTCTCACGTATTTTCACGTTAAATTTTAATGTTATGGAAGATTTTCTACGTTTGTTATTACTTTTATAACAAACATCATGTCTCGTCCATTTGTATTAAAATTTATTTTGCTTTAAAAAAATATTTTTATGTTTTTTTTTTATTATAACCCATAATATTAACATTTTATTATATTACGTTTTTAATATTTTTTTTAATTTTTATGTTTTAAAATTGTTGCTTCTTCAAATATTAATTTATTAACAAGAATATTATCAAAAAAATATAAAAGATTTTTAAAGAATATTATCAAGAAGTTCAATATACGAGGGTGGATCAATAAGTACCCGTGTTAGAAAGAAAGAGACAAGTTTTTCAAAAAAATTTATTTCTATTTTTCAACGTAATCTCCTTTAAGTGCTATACACTTTTCCCAACGTTTCTGCCATTTTTTTAACCCCTCCAAAAAATACGATTTCTCAAACTCAGCAAAATACGCTCCAGTCTCGACGATAACCTCCTCGTTAGAGCTGAATTTTTTTCCCCCGAGCCACGTTTTCATGTTGGGGAATAGAAAAAAGTCGCATGGAGCCAAGTCGGGCGAGTACGGTGGGTGCGGCAGCAATTCGTAGTGCAATTCTTGCAATTTGACCGCGACAATTCTCGATGAATGTGCTGGTGCGTTATCGTGGTGAAACAGCACTTTTTTCTTAGCCAAATGAGGCCGTGTCTTCTTCAATTTTTCATCGAATCGGTCCAATAATTCACTATAGTACTGCCCTGTGATCGTACTTCCTTTCTGCAAAAAGTCCATGAGGATTATTCCCTTGGAATCCCAAAAAATAGTGGCCATGATCTTTCCGGCCGATGGGACCGTCTTTGCTTTCTTCGGAGCAGATTCACCCCGAAAAATCCATTGCTTCGACTGTCGTTTAGTCTCTGGCGTATAATAATGTATCCAGGTTTCATCAACGGTGACGACTCGACGCAAAAACTCCTGCGAATTTCGATTAAAGAGGTCCAAACACTGCTTCGACATTGACAGCCGTATCCGCTTGTTGTCCACCGTAAGCAATCGCGGCACCCATCGGGCAGATACCTTTCTCATGTGTAACTTATCATGCAAAATATTAATTGCCGTTCCGTATGATACGCCTACGGCCTCTGCTACTTCTCGCACTTTCGTTCGGCGATCTGCGACAATCATGTCTTGGACCTTTTTAACGATTTCCTCGGTAACAACGTCTGCCGGGCGGCCTGGTCGCTCCTCATCAAAAACAGATGTACGACCACGTTTAAATTCGTTGAACCAATATCTTAAGGTTGTCATAGATGGTGAAGGGTCCCCATAAACAGCATCCAACTTCACTTTTATTTCTTCGCATGTTTTTCCATCCAAAAATAAAAAGCGAATTACGGATCGATACTGTTCTTTTTCCATTTTATCGATTAATGCGACACACGTATGGTACAAGTGGCTGCCAAATAAAAACCAATCTATAAATCAGTTTGAAATTTAGTATGGTGTCGTGTGACAGATGACAGTACACGATGGTAAAGCCAACTTCCCTCAGCAACGCCACCTGTCTTCAAACACGGGTACTTATTGATCCACCCTCGTAATTGGACATATAAGCAAAATGTTGATTTTAAAGTAATATTGTCAAAACTGGCAAGAATATTATCAAAATTTAAGAGATTTTTAGCGAATTTTAAACAAAATTACAATATTTTAAAGGAATATTATCAAAATTGACAAGAATATTATCAAAAATAAAGGGATTTTTGGATAATTTTAAACATAATTCCAATATTAGAAAATATTAACTATAACTTGACATTTGACATCAGAATTATAAGCAAAAATTGTCAAAAATGGCGATTTTAAAGAAATATTCTTAAAAGTTTCAAGAATATTATCAAAATGTATAAGATTTTTGAAGAATTTTAACCAAATTCCAATACTAGAAAATATTAACAATAACTTTAATTTCTTTAGTGGAAATATCATAAACTGTTGTTTTATAAAAATATTAAATGTTGCTTCTTTAGAAATATTATTAAATTTACAAGAATAATATCAAAAATATGTATGTATATTTTTATCGAATTTTAAACAAAATTTCAAAATTATAAAATATTAACAATAACTTTAATATCTTTAGTGGAAATATCATAAACTGTTGTTTTTTAAGAAATATTTCCTTCTTCTTCAAATAATAATAAATTTCCAAGAATAATATCAAAACAATATAAAAGATTTTTAAAGAATTCAAGAAGTTCAATAATTGGACATCAGAAATATAAGCAAAACATGTCAAAAATGTTGATTTCAAAGTAATATTGTCAAAATTAGCAAGAATATTATTAAAATGTAAGAGATTTTTAGGGAATTTTAAACAAAATTACAATATTAGAAAATATTAACCATAACTTTAATATCATAAACTGTTGTTTTTAAATGAAAATATACGAATACAAAAGATCTTACCCCGTCCACTTCTTCCCACAAATCTTAAATCGTTGAATTTGGCCACTTGGTTCTTCATGATGGCCGTGCAATTTCTCAACTCGGCGCAGTAGTTCTCATCGTTGCCAGCTCGTACGGTCACCACAGTTCCATCACCGACATCACCAAGTGCCACCACCTTGAAAGCCACCGGTAGGGTCTTGTTGCTCCTCCAATGAGGCGGCAGTACTGTGCAAACCACGTGCGGCGAACCGGTTCGAACCAGCTCACCGGGATGTTCAGCCAACAGACCGTCGATTGTTCTTTCTGCAAGAATCTCCGCCGTCAGTTGACCGTAGGATCTCTCGTAATGATGACCGGTTGTTGACGAAACTTCACTGCCCATATGCATGTTGTGTCTTTTGAAACTGCGTTTTAACATGGATAAACTGTTTTTATTAAACTTGATTAAACTTCGACTAATGCACTAGCTGACCGAAAACTCCATTTTACTGAATCTTCCCTGAATGAAAGTTTTCCGGTTTTGAACGTTTTTACAGTAATTAGTCTGTTTTAAAACATGTGCGTTCGGTTTTTTCGAGCGTTCGCGGATTTTTCCGGGTTGAAGATGGGCGGGACTTCGCGCGATGTATTGGACGTTTCAGCGTGCTCCTGAAACATAATGAATAGAATATATTAGTTGGTTAAAATGCTCGTAATATAGATATTTTGGGACTACCTACATAAAATTTCAAGTTTACAGAACAATCCGCAAAACTGTCCTAATGATGTAAATAGAACAGAATATTCGCTTAACAATAATCCCCACCCCCTTATTTTATTTCAATTACCCAAATTTACAGTTCAGACAAAATTTCCTTTACAGTCGACATCAAAAGTGCGAGAAGGGTAAGTAACAAGAAACAAAACACGGTGCAACGCAGTGCAGTGGAAATTCGACCGGAGCATCCCTTCAAGTAAAACATTTGACAGTCTGCACGCGTTCCGGTCCAGTTGATCCGTAGGGGAAAAGAGGATCAGCTGATCTGTAAATCATTTTACTCAAGAAAGGCCACCCTCTATTCAATAGTCACACGTTGGGATGCCATCTTTATATTTATCAAAAATAAACTGGTTCACAGAATACATTTTGATTATATTTTTGTCAATTTTGAGATATTCCTTATAAATAAAATTTATGACAGTTTTAAATATTTCTGATATGTCCAATTTTACTAAACTTCTTGATATTTTTCAAATATGCCTTACATTTTTTTAAATATTTGAGTAAGCAAAATTTAATATTGGTTAAAACACAACTGTTTTAAAAACATTTATGTTATTTCTTTAAAAATAAAATTTATGACAGTTTTAAATATTTCTGATATGTCCAATTTTACTAAACTTCTTAATATTCTTCAAATATGCCTTACATTTTTTTAAAATCTAATTTTATAATTTTGGTTAAAATTCGCCAAAAATATCTTACATTTTAAAAAAATTCTTGTAAATTTTGATAATATTCCTTGAACATATTTGACATGTTTTGTTAATATTTCTGATATGTCCACTAATTTTATTCAACTTCTTGATAATATTTTTCAAAATTTTTTTAGATATTTAAGATAATATTTTTCAAAATTTAATAATATTTCTAAAAAAGCAACAATTAATATTTCTTAAAAAATAACAGTTTGTGATATTTCCACTAAAGATAATAATAATAATAATAATAATATATATATTTATTTGCCCAACAGATTACAAAATCCAATTACAGGACAAAATTATAAAATCGTGCAAACTTAACAAATAATTATAAAAAACCTACTTTAACAAAGTTTACAATAAAAATAAATAAATTATTCTAAGCTAAAATTATTAATAATGTTAGTTACGATGTCACCCAAAGAATCAAAATAAATATCACAGTTAGACTGTATTTTATTATAATTATTGCACATTATAAAAGTTGGAGACATAAACATAACATTGGTTTTTGCCAAACCAGTACTAAATGCCAATTTTTGGCGAGAATTTAGTCTGGGAACATGAAAATTAATTGCAGATAATAATTCAGCACAGTCCACTCTATTTCTAAGTAGATTAAATAAAAATTTAATTGAGTAAATAAACCGTCTATCCCTTAAACTTACAAAATCAAATTCAGTTAACAAAGCATAATAATCGTAACCTCTAATTGGATAGTTACCATGACTCTTAAAATAAACAAACTTAAGATATTAAAGTTATTGTTAATATTTTCCAATATTTTGTTTAAAATTTGATAAAATCTCTTACATTTTAATAATATTCTTGTACATTTTGATAATATTATTTAAAAATTTAAATTTAATATTTTTTATAAAAAAGCAACATTTATTATTTCTTAAAAAACAACATTTCTGATTCCGCTAAAAATATTAAACTTTTTACTAATATTTACTAATAATGAAATTTTTGTTAAAATTCGCTGAAAATATTCTTGTACATTTTGATAATATTACTTAAAAATTTAAATTTAATAATTTTTATAAAGAAGCAACATTTATTTCTTAAAGAAACAATATTTCTGATTCCGCTAAAAATGTTAAAAACTTTACTAATATTTACTAATATGGAAATTATGGTTAAAATTCGATGAAAATCTCTTACAATTTGATAATATTTATTCAATTCAATTTTGACAATTTTTCTTTAAAATCAATCTATTTGACAAGCTTATATTTCTGATGTCTAATTATATTGAACTTCTTAATAATATTCTTTAAAAATCTCTTACTTTTTTATAATATTCCTGTAAATTTTGATAATATTACTTAAAAAATTAAATTTAATAATATTTCTGAAGAAGCAACATTTCAAATTTCTTAAAAAAAAACATTTTTGATATATTTCAATAAAAATATTAAAATGTTTGTTAATATTTACTAACATTGAAATTTTGGTTAAAATTCGCTGAAAATCTTTTTACATTTTAATAATATTCTTGAACTTTTAATCCCACCCTTACTTCCTAAAAAGTTCCAAAAGCGAATCCTCCTTAAAAACAAAATTTTTGACAAACAGCTTTATCTTTATTGCATAAGTATTCTGTAATCCCGAAATGTTGTTTTTAAAGGAATATTATCAAAATGTAAGAGATTTTTAGCAAATTTTAGCAAAATGACAATATTAGAAATAATTAAAAATAATTTAAATTTCTTTAGTGGAAATATCATAAAGGTTTTAATATATTATAATTGGACAGGTCAAAATATTAACAAAATTTGTCAAAAATTTTGTTTTTAAGGAGGATTCGCTTTTGGGACTTTTTAGGAAGTAAGGGTGGGATTAAATTATAATTGCAGCCCAAACTCACTTAAAATCTTGGAAAACCTTTCTTTATCAGGATTTTTCTAAAATCGTTGAATTTAATAAAACGAACACATACATGACCGCATTAGTTTTTATCATCCCAACGTGTCTCCCTTCGATTCTGAACGCTACCCCAACAACCCCAAGTGTGCTCTATTAGCTATTTGTTAGGATCGATGTAAAGAACATTTTTATTATTGTTTTTTTGTACGCTCATAGTAAGGGTGACTTATATAGGCTGCAGGCTAAGCGGGGTTAAGTACAGATAATTGAGAATGATAGTAGGGTTATTTGATACTGTTCTAAGCTCGAGTTACCCTTGTAGAAGTTGATAGGTATTAGTTTCTTTAATTATTTAAGACAGAAACTTAAAATGTTTACAAAATAAAGATATTAAAATTCGTGACTAATACAGAGGATTGGTGGTCCCTGATCGAGTATTTTTTTAAATGAAATTTCAGAAACTGCATCCAAGAGTTGAAAGATCTTTGGAAAGTAATAGATAATTTGGTGTCAGAGATATCTTGTGTTTGGAGGAACCTACGAAAAAGTGGACAGCAAAAATCAGCAGCAGAAGAAAGTTTATCAGGAACCTCGAAGAAAGAAATATTTTATTCAATAACTTTTATCATCATCAGATCCCGTCATATCACACTAACTACTTAAGGTAAACATGTCAAAACACATAGTTAAGGTTCAGTTTAAAGAAGGTTCGCATCTTTATAATAATAATTGTATGACAAGATGTTTTCAAATGTGAACTTAAATACAATAAATAAAAAAAATACCCTTAGTAAAATCCTTCAAGTATGTTCCACCACTGGTCGTCGGAAAACGTGTCAACAAACACCGCGATAACCGCGAAACTGACCGCCGCCGACTGGTAGCACGAGACCGCAGGAAATCTCGGTGCAGCAGGAAAAAAGCGTTTGTTATCGGACGCGTCGGGAAAAGACTGTGAAGGCCGAAAGAAAGCGGGGAAAAGTTTCAGCGCGGGGGGTGGCGTGAAGGGGGCAGCCGTTCGTGGGGCGGGGCCTGTTTGAGGTAGACCGCCACCACTGTGTCGTCTACCGCCAACCAGGAAAGACGGCCGATTTTTCCTGCCCCAAACCACCCTCGTTTCTTAGAGGTTTACCGTAAAGGACGCAAGCGTACTCCTTGGCACGGAGTTTCTTCGTCTTTTTTAACGCGGCGGGTCTCTTTTTAACGCGTTCGAAACGCGTATTCTCCGTCTTCGTTCATTTCTTTCGGTTTTATCGCTCGCTCTAGTCCTGCAGCGTCTTTCCGTCCTGCTGCCGTTGCAGGAGCGGCTACGGGGACGTCTTGAGTTTTAAGAAAGCCGTTACTACGCTAATTAGACGATCTTTCAAACTAAAAGCTGTTTAAAGACTTTTATTAAATATGTATATCTATATTTAACTAGGTTTTTAATGGCCTGAGAAGATATTATTAACATTTCTTATAAATAGGATTTTGTTTCAACATTTTATCTTTTTTAGCAAATTTGGAATTTTAGTTATTTTATTTTTGCTCGAATAAAATAAAATACAATAAAAATATGTATTATGTAAAATAAAATAATAAAGAAATATTTACAATAAATTGTTTAATTTTTGTTGCTAATATTCTTTAAATATCAATAAGTTTAAAACATTTTAATTATTCATAATATTTTACATAAATCTTAACTTCTTTAATAATATTTCTAAAGGAGCAATATTTAATATTTCTTACATTTTAATAATACTCTTTTCAATTTTGATATATCGATCCCTTTAAAAATTATGACAGGTTTTTAATATTTCTGATATGATCAACTTAATGAACTTCTTCAAATACATTTTACATTTTTTTTTAAATATTTGAAACAGCAACATTTAATATTTATTAAAAAAACAACAGTTTTAAAAACATTTATGTTATTTCCACTAAAGATATTGAAATTTTGATAATATTCCTTAAAAACAAAATTTTTCACATATTTTGTTAACATTTCTGATAATGTCCACTAACTTTATTGAACTTTTTGATAATATTCATCAAAATTGTCTTACATATTTTTGATAATATTATTGTAAAGTTAATAATATTTCTAAAGAAGCAATTTTTCAACACGTTATGATATTTCCACTAAAGATATTAAAGATATTGTTAATATTTTCTAATTTTGGATTTTTATTTAAAATTCGCTAAAAATATCTTACATTTTTATACTATTAATGTGCTTTTTTAGTCCAACCTTTACTTCATAAGAAGTCCCAGAAGCGAATATTCCTTAA